TAAATATATCTTATTAACCAAGCGCGAGGGCCGTACTGGGAGAATATCGGCCCGAGGTCTTGACAGTACGGACCGAGCGCAGCGAGGTCCGTACAAAAAAGACCGAGGGCCGATATTCTTCCAGTACGGTCCCGAGCAAGCTTGGTTAATAAGAGATTTATTACACGACTGAAGTTCAAAGGGACACAAGTGCGGTATCATTCGGGACCATTCGGGACAGTGCCCGGTCCAATACTGAGAGAATATTGACCGGCAATAGAGCATTTTGATTGGTTGATTTTAGTTATTGGCCCTCTGACTTCCCGAGTCGTGTAATAATTAACAATTATTCCACAAGCGCGCGTTGGATATGAGATGATAGATAGCCAACGAGTTTCTTCGAGACTCAGAGCAAAGATTCTCAACAATGAATTTAGTGACTTTGGGGCTTTGATCACCAATATCCAATTTTAGATAACAAGTATCAAGTCACTTTACAGAATGACAATGGCTCTACTCCATCTCTGGCATTAGAGCCTGTTGCTAAATCCAAAAAGCTTCTAAATATTTCTTCGTGCACAAGCAGTTTTCTTATCTATGTTGGGGTGTATACTAGCAAGTTTCCTTCAAAGGCCCCCGCCCTCATAAAGTATAGGGAGATCATACAGGATTTGGCAAACCGGGGGCATGATTGGCACTTTTATGACGAGAATTTCGTTTGCAGCAGAATCAGCCGTCTGCTTTCCCATGGGGTACTATCTATTGGGAATTGTGGATGCGATCCTACCAATCGGTATCTCGGAAAATGAATCACCCTGTAAATTCATAAAAACAAATGACATAGTCTTCATGCCAAATTCCCCGTTGCCAAATCCCCCGTTGCCAAATCCCCCGTTGCCAAATCCCCCGTTGCCAAATCCTCCTCTCCCAACACCAGTAAAATTTGAGAGGTTGTTGAATCGATTGTCCGGGTATCCCCATTCAACTATGCTTCTTCTTTTGTCTGGACTTACAAAACGTTTCCCCTTACATTTTGAGGGGTCACGTGAGTCAATGCAGGCTGCAAACCTTTTATCTCTTCGTTAGCAACCAGAAGTAGTTGATGCCAAACTTGCAAAAGAACAAGCTGCTGGTCGCTTAGCTGGTCCATTTCAATCACCTCCTATATCCCCCCCCCCCTTTGTTGTCCCCCTAGGTGTAGTCCCTAACAAATCACCAGGGGAGTTTCGCCTTACTTTCATCACTTGTCTTTTCCCAAGGGTTCATCTGTGAATGATGCTATTTCCATGATAATAGCACAGTTAAATACGCATCTATCAGGGATGCCATCCGTTGTGTCAAATTGGCTGGTCGTGGTTGTTTTTTTAGCCAAAACTGATATTCAAAATGTTTTTCGTATCATAACAATCCAACCATATGATTATGGACACTTAAGTATACAGTGGCGTGACTCCCCTTTTATTATGGGTTGTGCAAGCTCTTGAAGGACATTTGAATTTTTTAGCACTGCAGTTGAATGGGTTGCCCATCATAAGCTAAAAATAGATCATATCATTCATTTGTTTGATGATTTTCTAATTATTACCCCAGAAAGCACCTTTGTCTGACTCAGCTGGATTTGTTTATTAATCTTGGTTCATATGTTGGCATCCCCCTAGCACCTGAGAAAACCTGCGGCTCTCTTACTACGTTATCTTTTGAGGGGATTGAACTAGATTCTGTGTTGCAGGAAGCTCGTCTGCCTCCTGAAAAAATACGTAAAATTTCTTCTTTAATTTTAGAATTTTGCTAAGGAAGAAGGTCACCCTGCAGATGATACAATCTTTAATAAACCTTTTAAATTTTGGTTGTCCCCATCGTTTAGCTTCTCTTCCTGACTCCACTAACTCTGAAATGATCAAACTCGCATTACGGGGTTACAGTAAAATGAACCCTGCGAGGGACACTCGGTTACCCATTACTTTACCCATACTAGAAAATATCATCTTGGCCTGCGAACACACAAAATCATCTCTGCATAGCAAAAAATTAACCTAGGCCATGTATGCTGTTGCTTTCTTTGCGGCCCTTAGAGTTGGTGAACTTGCTCATCGGGGCAGTCAAACTGGTCAAAATTTCATCAGTATCGGTCAAGATTTCATCAGTATCAGTCAAAATATCTCTATGAAAACCAGGCAAGGTACTGTCACAGGATTAAAAACTTGAGTTAAGGAACTACAAGCATAGTGACTTGGCAAACCCACAGCATTAAAGGAAGACCTTCAGTTTTGTGACCTGGATATTTCGCACTATAAGACTCGTAGCTTTAGGATCATTGCTGCTTCCTGAGCAGCAGCGGAAGCTATGTCGGACACACAGATCAGATTTTGGACGCTGAAACTCATGCATTTCCGTGATATATTCGAACCTCCACAATGGGGTCTCTGTCAGCCTTCCATGCGTAGTTCAGTACCATTTGCCCATTCTTGCAGGGGAACACCGTAGAGACATAGTAGACTTTCCCAAACATGGCACAGATCTGGTGTGCAGGGGCCACTGGTATCTGTGCTATGTTTGTCTTAACATTACAGTGAATGTGGAGTATTAGAGTATGACCCACCTCTTAGATTTACATATATTAAATCTCGTGAGTATAGTACACTCTTATACTGCTTTATTCAACCATGTGTGCGCGGGCCACTTGGTAAATGGGTTAAGCAAATATAGTTCATTACCTTATAGAGCTCCACAGTGTATTGTCAGTGTTACCCTGAAGGGATTAGTTAGGGCCTACTTAGGAGCATATGTGCAGGGACCAACTGTTTCCTTAAATGGCAAATGTCCTGAGCATAAATTGAATGTGCAATCATAAGCCGCTGTAATTTAGAAAGGGCTGCTGAGCAGGGGCTAGCAGTTTGACCTCTTACAATAGGTTTATTTGGTAATGTTGGTTTCGGGGACATTGGGGCGAGGGCCCAATGTTTCCCCTCTGGTCCACTTCTCTGGCCTGTAAGTAGGTGGGGTTCATAAAGTAATTTAGTTAAAGTGCCTATAACCCCAAAAATGTTATTTCGCCATATTAAATCTCTCTATTGCACTGAGCAAAATGCCGCAAAAATTTTTGTGTTTGGTTAAAACCGCGATTTTTTATGAATTTTCAAAGTCGTGGAAAATCACATTTTCTCAAACATGACTGAGGCACGGAATTATCAAGATGGGTCTGGGTCGAGCGCAGTTTGTGACGTCATTCCAGGCTTTCCAATGAGTTTGCTTCAAGGACTGGATGAAGTATCTTGACAGATATGCCTGATAAGTGCGTTGTTTTCGGGTGTAGCAACACTCCCAACAAAGAAAAAAGAATAGCATTTATGGGGCAGATGACCCGGAGAAAAACAAGAGAAGAAAGAAGTGGGTTGACTTTGTGCAATTGAAGCATGCACATTGGAAGCCCACAAAGTACTCGGCCGTGTGTTACAACCACTTCCGAGAGGAAGACCATTCAGTCATGTTTTCTGCTCTGACTACCGAGACTATGCAACGAAGGTTGCGAAAAGATGGAGTTGGAATTTTCGTCTTACCGACTGTTCACGCGTGGAATGTTGAGGAAACGAAATCAGCTGAAAGCGAGCGAAGTAAGAGAAAGGTGAGAAAAATTTACCAGATCAGAGTTTAGCGAAGGTTTCATCTCGTTGGGAATGTATAATATTGACTGAGATTGGATCGAAGCGCCACTGCCGATGGCCTGGAATGACGTCACTAGCCCCAGTCTCTGGTTCACTCGGTCGTTCCAAAAATAAACCTGACTTTGAAAATCCATAAAAAATCACGGTTTTAACCAAACACAAAAATTTTTACGGCATTTTGCTCAGTGCAATAGAGAGATTTCATATGGCCAAAAAACATTTTTGGGGTTATAGGCACTTTAACGGTTTGCCATCTCATTCTAGGATGACCTGCTTAAGGGGCGGTTGTGCAAGTGTTGTGGGGGTTTTACCGCTCGCTTGGCGAGTTAACAAGAGGTACTGAGACTCTGTAATTTTCTTCTTTATTCTCCTATACTGCTCCTTCTACTGGAGCTAATTCTCTCTCTCTTGTTCCACTGCTTATTTCTACTACTTTCAGCAAGGAGTGCCCCAGTATTGAATACAAAAATCACAGACATGTTTGGGTTAGCTGACCGTGGGAATTTCCAAAACAGGATGTTCAGTGTAGGTAAAACTCAAGGTCAGTTTTACCAACCCAAACATGACCACCTAGCAAACTAGTTATCCTCAACCATAACAAGGGATTAAAATGTCTAGCACGGTAAGTACTGAGCCAAGTTCAAGCACACAGTAAAAATAAATTATCAAAACTATAGATTCATCAAATAGCACGCAGGGGCGAAAAGTCGAGACTTAATAAAACAAAGGTAAACCTAAAAGATACTTGAAATATCAATCCTTGAAAACGCTGTACAACACAAGGGCCAACTGTTTCACAAGCATGATAATAATTTCATTAGTATTAACATGACAATGGATACTAGCTTTCAGTCTACCTTTCGCGCCTGGGGGCACTTGGCTGGTTTCCTTGCCAGTTTGAGTCGCGTTGTTTCTTACAGTAGTGTTTGTTCAGGCACTGTTCATTGCATGGGCTTTGGGTGGGGCGGCCCTGTCTCTCGGATCGATCAGGGCTTTGGCGTGTTGGCCCTCACCTTTGCTGGGATTAGGTTTTATTTCCGGTTTTACTGTAATTTGATTTGGTATTAATTAAAAATAAACGGCCACTCAACTGAGTGGACAAATTATGGCAAATAAAGGTTGTCCGTTTAATTCTCCCAGTAAACCGAGCTCACCCTTACCAATGCACAGTGTACGGCACTAGGTTATTGGCAAGCGAGCAAGAGGCATAAATGACAGTTATTACCAAAGGGAATAAACTATTTTATGCAGCATGCGCCGCGTTTTACCATTGCCCCGGATGGGATACATCCGGGTCTTACAATGGCAGATACTTTAACATCCGAACATGTGATTTCGAGCCTCTTTAAGTTAAGCTTCGGTGCAGGGCAAACATTTCCCACCCTATTAACCCACCCATTGTTTTCGAGCATTCTCATAGGTGCGTTGAGTCCTCATTCGATGGGTGTTTGCCCTCACCTTTGCTGGGATTAGGTTTTATTTCCGGTTTTACTGTAATTTGATTTGGTATTAATTAAAAATAAACGGCCACTCAACTGAGTGGCCAAATTACGGCAAATAAAGGTTGTCCGTTTAGTTCTCCCAGCAAACCGAGCTCACCCTTAGCAATGCACAGTGTACAGCACGAGGTTATTGGCAAGCGAGCAAGAGGCATAAACATTATAATTGTAAGTTATAGATAATACCTCTCCTCAGTAGTCGCTACGAACCCTACGGAGTCACATGAGATGCGCGCATGCTGCCGGTCAGTGCACGCTGGCTGGTTTAGATCTTCATTCTCATTTTACAGGACGTAAACCTCGTCTGGAATCTATGATACACCTGGCTCTGTAGGGGTTGAACAAAATTCGCCACTCAAAAATAGCAGAACTTCATCGAACACAGCCCTTACATAAATAATTTTGTAGTTTCGGGCTCTATCGATTCAATTAATCGTCTGCTACGAGCGTCTAGAAGTTATATTAATGCGTAATAAGAGAGGCAACTAAGCGCACAATTTACAAAATAATTAGCTGATCACTTTCGGAGAAAATTACTCAACTCTAAAGTAGGAAGATTCCTCTTTCAAAGACAGTTACAAAATTAAGATGAATATCTACAAAAAGGAAAAAAAATTCCTCACCTTTGCGTTTAAAAATGTCATGGCTATAATTTATTTGCTATGGCAGTATCCAGTTTTCCATTTTAGATATTACATACAAAATTATGCAATCTATACATACACCCTAGGGACACATTTCCAGTTATTGTTGCTCATAGCAAAATTCTTCCGCTAACTCTCGCAGATTCACAAGCTCATGTTGTAAAGCTTGACCCAAAATCTGGTAAGTTGCGTCTGAACCTTTTCCTCCTTTCCACTGCCTGAGCATTTGATATCCCTGTTCAGAGAGAGGCTCGTTTGACTGGCGTATTTCCTCAAGCTTTGGATCTTTGATTCCCAAGCGGCGCCTAAGCGTTTTCCAAGCATCACCAAGATTTGAGGCAAGATGTTCCAGTTCATCATCGCTAGGCGTGCCTTGTTTGACTACAGAGACAAAGTTATTGTTCTTGAGAAGCATAAATAGGGGGCAAAAATAAGTTGACTGAGGCAGAAAATCTAGTAAAATGATTTACGATAATTTCTCAGTTCGCCATTTTAAAGTCAATACAAAAGCATACAGCCCTATTTAAAGTTCAAGTCATAGGTTTACGGTCAATATAAAGTTTGAAAGATCAAAATAAAGCTGGCGTTTTTCAAACAATCCAAATTTTGAAAATCAATAAAACTTCTTCCATGTTTACACAGCCTGATCTTAACACAAGGGGGTCGAGAGGATTTGAGCACGTTATGCAAACCCGAAACCCAGTGGAGGATTGCTTTAATAAAATATATTTCACATGACAAATGAAGGAAAATGTCACCTCTTCTTGATTGATATAGATTTCCTTAACACGCACACTAGACGATAGTATTTTTTGCTAGCCAATCAAATTCTGTATTTAGTCTACACTGAGTGTATGAAACAATATCAGCTTGAATCCTCGTAAATTTGACAGGGTAAATACCGATTTGGCAGCCCGAGAACATGGTTGAGAAGTTGAATCGCTTTTCGTGCTTTGTTGAGTTTTCCTTGTTAATAAAGTTTCGCTCCCCCATTCTGAATTTAAAAAGTTAACGAATATCATAACCAATGTGAAAATAGCTTTTTAGGCTGAGAACGTCTCGTAGAGAAGGATATTTTACGAAAAATAGAGAGCCAAAACATGGGAAGCAATCAGCCGTGCACCGTTTGCTTCGAGACAAAACCAGTCTGAGGATGATGGTTTGGTGTGTGTTTTCGTTAACAATTTGTAATAAAGAATGTACTTGTAGGGGATTTTCTTGTAGAACTTGAATACTAGAATTATTCCGGAAAATGCTTACTACGCATCTTGTTGCATATTTTGTCGTCTTTGCTTGAGCTTTCTCGACGAGGTCGTCCACCTCATAAACAGAAGGGCACAACATTAACTTGCAAAACGGAAGGTAATTTTTGGTGCTTTTCAGTTGAACAGAGGCAAGTGCGAGGCAAGAGGAGCATAAATAAAATTAAGCCGCTCTTACCGCACTATTTTTCAAGCTCTTCCGCCCTCAGGCACACCTCCAATCATTAACCAATCACAGCGTTCCGAAAAAGTGGCGGGAAGCGCAGTGGTCACAGACCGTGCGCAGTATCAATACTTGAGCGACTACCGGTGAAGATAGTTCTAAATTTGATCTCCCCTTGAGAGTGTACTTAAGTAAAAGACTGCCAAAATATTTCATTTTCTGCGCGTTAATCAAGCATGAAGACAAGGATGAAAAACGGCGAAGTCTATAAACAAAATGAAGAACGAAAAAATGTATGATTTTAGTATATGCCACAAAAGTAAATAGCGCCTTTTGCGCGCGCTGATTGGTTAGTTCGGAGTAAATAGCGAGTAAACTTTCTCTCTATGCAGCCGATGAGACAAAATCGCCTGTTACGGGTTGAACTTCCAACCATTTTTCGGTATATTGAAAGAAATAAACTAAATTTTTGGTCTCTGTGTGGTATAAACTAAAATATCAATTCACTACAGTGCCAGTGAAAGTGGTGAATATTTTGAAAGACTTTTTAGACCAACATATACTTTTCGCATAGCTTCGACCATAGACAAATATGATGCGACCGCCACACTGCTGTTAAAAAAACATTCGATGATCATTTGATATCAAGTAACCAACTTGATAGGTCCGTTTGTATATGAACGGAGGAACAGCTTGAACAACAGTGCGTTTCTTGTTCTGAAGGCTACAGGAAAAGCGCTGAATTTCCGTGAAATGTTTTCAAATTGTGCAGGGAAGCGCACGTCACAACCGTGTTATATAACTCTCCTTAAACACACTAATCAACCGATGAGAGCGCATGTAGGTACAAATATGCTATGAATGGCGATAATCAACAATACTGACTGATTATTTGTCTTACACTGTGGTTTGCCTGACCCACTTGTAGACGGCTGTTGGTTTGCGTAAAAGTTGGCATGCTCCTGGTCATCACCTGAGAGTCACAATAAGCATTAGGGGAAAATTAGTAGGATTATGTTTTAGAGTCAAAACACTGAGGGAAAACTTACAAAGAATAATTAAAATGACCTATTTAAGAACGGATTCTTTAGACTAACATGTACTTGTTTGAAGAACTCATAGACCTTTGACTGGTGGAGAAAAAGGTAGAAGTTAGCATCCTCTTCTTCCCAAGTTAAAGAGACCCAAGGAAAGGTTTATCAGGAGTAAAAGCAAGAATCTTCTGAACAAATATAACAGAAGAGAGGTGATATAAGATAAGATCTTTATTTAAACCCGATAATAATTAAAGCTAACAGCTTGAGGGGTTGTGTATTTAGTTTATACTAGCTAAATAAATAAAAAGGCGAACACTAACATTTTAATCAAAAGTAGAAAAAGTCATAATTTTTATGGCGGACAGCTGAAGCTGAAGCAATATTAAATTTAAAACCTCTAAAATAAGGCTTTGTTTTCAAATTTCGAAATAGCTCATTGTGGTTTTTGGGCAAGATCCGAGGGTGGGTTGCAAATGGCGCTATGCAGAAAGCTCAGGGGGAGGAGAGGATAGGTTTATGAAAACCCTCGTCTGATTTTCTCTGAGGTTGGTAGGGCCTTGTTGTTGAAAGCCTGCATTGCAGGATTGGTAGTCAGGCCTGTACCCTGTCACACCTCAGCAACTGGGCTAACATTCCAGGGCTGGCGGGTGGTGAGTGTCAAAAGCATGCCTTTGGGGAGGATGGCTCAATTGACATAGCAAACACCTGATGACTAGGTTTTTGCTGCCCACTCAAGCCAACCTGGCCAATGAAAATGCAAGGAGGTTAATGTCACGGCTAATGCTTGCAGCAGCCCAGCCGCTAACCTATCGTAGGGTGGGTTACAAATAGCTATGTGTGGAAAGCTCAGGGGATTAGCAGGGTAATATATAATAGTAGTACCAATGATAACAAAAAGAAAATAAGCATTCTACTAACCAGCCACATTTTGTCCATTGTCACATGGTTCATCATGAGAACTTTCATCCTCCTCCTCGGAAGAACCAATATCAATCGTTTCTCTGTCCTCTTCGTCTGGTTCTGATGGGTAGACTACAAGTTTGTAAATATCTGTCAACAAGTTTTATTGGATATCTTATATCTCACCTGGCTACAAGTACATAATTATATTGTTAGGGACTTTTAATGATAACAGGATGTTTGAAAATCACGCAAAATGAAGATTCACCCAAAAAATTACCATTAATGGAAAAAAGTTGAAACCTCAATTTATGACCACCCCTCTTATGTGTTCTTTTTTCCTTCTGGCATAAGGTTCAAACATTCACTTTTCTCTCAACCCCTAACTTGTTATATTCATCTGCCTCCATTAGATAAATTGGCCTAAAGTATTATTAATAAATATTGTATGCTATTTTCTTATTTGCTGTTCTACTATGCTTGCTTTCATTTCAGAAAATGTCAGATGATGAAGAATTTCAAACCATTCCTAATTGTGGCAAGTATTAGGAATGCAAGTTTTGAACACCATTGATGATGTGGAATGGTCAGAGAAAATTTGGGATGAGAATTTTGTGCTGTTGATGATAAGGGATCCTTGAAGAAACATAACTTTACCTTTTGACTAAGAGGGAAGTTGGCATTGCATTGGGAAAAGTTTTAGCTTGTTCAATCATACATCCTAGCCATATTTTCCGAAAAAACAAAACAAGGAAAATAGGGCAAGAGTAGAGATATACTAGTTTTATAGGAAACAAGGAGGAAATATAGGAGTGTTACAATATTTAGGAGGATTTTGCACACCATGTTGGTTCATCAACAGTTTCACGCATGTTCTCACATCATTCCTGACACTATATATTCTCATTAATTTGTTACTACTAACAATATTAACAGTGATGATACTGCTTGTCAGCTGGAAGTTACATGATAACTTTGCTACCTTAATAGTACAATGATCAAGCATAACACACCATGTCAGAATGACACAGATGAATGCATACATGAACCCTTAGGATCATTTGACTGGAATTCCTCATTGTATTTTTATTTAAACCCTAAGGCACTATTGACACAAAATATAGGAAGCTTTACCCAAATATTGGAGTTTTATAGAATCCTGTAAAATAAATAGGTATTAAAGGAAATAAAGGGAGGCTGTGATCTATGATTTCATACATTCATGTTCAAGCAGTTGGCTCTGGTCCTGCTATATATCAGGACCATCTATCTGGGACACAGGTGGCTGGACATTTCAGAAAAATTGGGAACATCTTGGGCATGGTCATGTAAATTATTTGCACTCACCTTTGGAGAGGCCAGCAACAACAGCTGCCCTTACAAAATTGACTATGATGGATTGAATGGCCTGGGGTACATTTGCAAAACCACATCCTATTCTCCCACAGACATCTTTGATGGCAAGGACAACTGCAATGTTCTCCTTACATCCACTTTTCACAACATTGCCAAGGAAAGCCCCATCTAGATTTACAGCTCGTATTTGGTACTTGCTTAGAGCTTCCTTATTAGGTGCCATAGAAGCTCCAAATGGCTCTTCCTTTAGCTTTTTTTTATGGCTTTTTGTGGCATAAGCAACATGAAGAAGTGCATCACGTTCAAAATCTGGGTTAAATCCTAATTTGGCTTTAGCTCGAGAGATCAGATTCTTCACTACCTCACCGTTTCTAGTTTCGGTCTGCCATAAATTGTAAGTTTTGGGAAATTCTGCTCCACAAAATTTACCCTGGCCGGCTGAGAAATCCTTTTTTCCTTTGTTCTTACCAACCAGATTCCCATTTTTTCTTCTCCAGCTGAACACTATTGCCCCTGAAGGTCACCTTTCTGGCAATGCCCACAGGATAAAGACTTCCAATGTTGCAATTTGGGTCACTGTTGTTAAGGCTCAAGCCATGCAAAATAATTAAGGTAAAGTGATCCAGGAAATGGGCACCAATGGCTCTGAACATAGCAGCCACATTCTTTCCCTCACTGCCTAAAAATAAGAAGAAAGAATCAAAATATAATTGTAAACACAAGAAATACAATCTAACCAACTATATACTATGTACGTGCTAGATTTTTTCTATTTGCAAAACTCTCCAGTTTATTTTCTGCTAAAGAGTGAGATTTTGGACCGCATGGCCTTTCAGTGTGACGTTACAGGTATCACCTCTCCAAGAAGGGAGGACAACGTGTAAAATGAAGAGCTAAGATGTGTATGGGATACTCCTTTTTTCCTGACTATCAGTTAAAATAAATCCTTATTACCAGTCTGCAGTCAGCATTTGAGCATGCGGAATAGTCAGTAGAGGCACTGAGCATTATAATTTTTTGGTATAATTTTAAGTACAATTCTCAGTCTACTTTAATTTCTACTTTTCAAGAGTTGAAAGCAAGTACAAAGGGAACAAAAAGTAAATTATATCATTCTAGAAAGAGAATTATGTTAATAATTAAAGCAGCAGTTTGCTATCCCAAAATCAACTTACGGTTTAAATTAAAAACCTTTCTGTGTAAGAAATATTTGTTTTGGTGTGATAGCCTAAAATGAATTCCTTTGCATGAAACTTGCACTCAACACACGAGACTTGAAAGCTCTGTATTGTAATAGGCCAATGTCTATGACAAGGTATTCAGTTATAATGCAGTAAAAATAGGTTGAGCCCTGCCGGAGTGGAAGTCATCATGATCACAATTCATATGACTCTAAGGGAAACTTCTGCTCAGGTTGTTAAAACATCACTCAGTCACCACTACTATTTAATAACAGTCCTTCTGGAAATCCCCTCACTTGGATGTTCAGACTAAACAACCACATATTTGGTTATGCTTATGGCAGAATCTTAAGCTGAAAAATGCAGCTTTCCTGAGAACTACAGAATGATGAACCAAACCCTACAAAATGCATCCAAGAGGTCAATTTACATTCTTCAAACATTTTGTGTGGGAGGATACACTTCCAAACCTCCCTAGTTCCTTGCAAAATTGAGCCAAAGTTACTGTTGTCAGTGATGAACAGCAGAGAAAAACAAAACCCCAAGAGTGGCCAATCTAAACATCCTGGCTAACACCATACTGTAACTCAAAACAAAGTTGGACAAGGAATGAAAATCACTTGAGGAATAACACTCATGGTTTTGCTGTTTGCAAACTGATCATAACCTTTGTGAAACATGTTTTATTTCATTTAACATTCCATTATTGAGAGGCTATACCTAACTTCTGGGTTCCTTTCCCTTTTTCACAACTGGTGTACTATTACATCTTAGCTTTCATTCAATAAGTTTCACATGAGAGGCTACACATCTAACACAAAGTCAATTTGCCACCGGTGGCGAATTGACCTTGAGTGGTGGCGAGTTTTATGGTGGCAAGTTTGTAGTGGTGGCGAGCTGACCAGTTACTTTCTCAATTTCTCTCTTAGAAGCTTGCAAAAATAATTCATTCACCTCATCAAAAGTCCCCTGCACCCTACCCACCATGATTCTTATCCCAAATATTTCACTAGTGTCTTAACTTGGTCAATTCCTCATCTGCACTTGAAATAAATTAACATTACAACATATCAATCGTAATAAAAATATGTTTAAAAAATGTAAATGAAGATTCGGCACACAGGAAAACATGCCTCTTCTAAATGAGAAAATACAAACTTACTCTGGAAATAGGTAAAGCAAACCCTTAAATGCTTCTCCATGGTAGTAACCAGACCAAGTTTGGGAGCTATTAGTTTGCGTCCACCTTCAGAAATGTCGACTTTCTTCAAATAGTCGCCACTTTCTTCTTCAAGGGCTTTTTTAAGTTCATTAAATGTGTCCGCATTTGGTAGTATGATTGCATAGTCGATACCCTGCCGAAACTTCATAAGTTTTAACGAGTCAAAGAAATCCCTTTGGATTTCCTTGCTTCTGATAAACTTGCTTACGAACAAATCAAGCAGGTTTGTATTATTCAGCTTTCGCCACGTAGTTCCAATGTCTTCAAGTTTGAGTGGCATTTGCGTGACCTTACAATCCTTTGGGACCAGGATAATAGGTGTCCCTTCTGGACTTTGCAACAATTCGTACTCGTATTCCAGTTGTTCTGTGCCATAAAAATCTTTGTATTTTCCCCTAATAGTTGCTTTGAGTTCACCTGAAACTCCACAAGATAACAAAGCATCCTCGATGATATCAAGAGCTGACTTTCTACACACTGGTGGAAATTCTGGCCTTTTACGATTTTTGTGGTACTCCTTGATCTCTCGTACTTTTTGATGTGTGTAATTGAGCAAATATGGAATTATCCAAAATAAAAGAAAATCTGAGACCTTATTCGGACCAATCTTTGGTTTTTCATCATCCGAACTTGCCGAATTTTTCTTCTTTTTCTTCTTATCGAAGAAAATCAACAGAATCGAGAATAAGAGAATCAGCGAACCTTTCAAGGAAAATTTTAGTCCGCTCTTCTGTGGGCTGACCACATCCTCATCATTTTCATCTAGCGTATCTGCCGCTGTTGGTGGGTCAATATCCATGTCTTCATCTGATGAAGTTGAATCCTGTGACTCCTCACATTCCGGATCGGGATTTTGCGATTGATCTCGATTTAATCGCGACAGATTCATATAAGGCATCCAGACTTTAGCTTCTTCGGCATCGATGGCCATTTTACTCGCTTTGTTACTGGATCTTACCGCATATCCCATGTGGAAGGAGGGTATTTCTGGGACTTGAAATAACGAAGGATCTCCTGAGTCGCAGGTATGTTTCGCTACTCTACTCAGAACGTCTTTTGCACCTCTGTCTTGAAATCCTCCCTCCCTCAACTCCTTGTCATCTAGGAGGACAGTTGGTGATAAATGCAACAAATTGTCGCTTTGGCTCGGATTGCACCGGATACGGGGCTGGAGACCAAATTCTTCATTCAGTAATTGTTCATCCAGACCAACGATCTCCGCTAAAGTAGCCATGCTTGACGTAAGACAATACGATGGAAAAAAGGCGGGAGTTACTATATCACGGGCGACGAGCGGGGC